ACGACGTGATGCGAGAAGTGTACTGACTTCGCCCACCATTTCTTAGTCATTTCTGATCCCGTTTTATGGCAGCTACGCGCGGCTACTCTTATACACTTCCTCACTACGCGCATCCATCAAATTGAAGGATATTGTGACTTCTGTCGATACAGAAGCTATCTGGAACAGCTACTCAAGCGCGCTCGATATGCTTGAACTCGTTTCTGAAACTTCGGCATCTCAACTATTGTACTTTGCTCAGGACAGTGTGCATGTCATGATCGCTTATGCCGCAGTATTCCTCATCAAGGTATTTAATGACTCACCTTTTTTAAAGCCAATTACTTACATCGGATATAGCTCTTACTTTCAGCACCATCATATATCCGGTCCGAGATGGAAATGCCAGCGCTGGATAGCATTCGCAACGCTGCGACAATATTCGAGAAACTTCAAGCGCCTACCAGCACAAGCTGCGCATTGCAAGCAGCGTTTTTGCGCAATGTTTCCACTCAGCACGAAGCAATGCAGGCGCGTCATACATCTTCGCTTTCGCACGTAGCGGCCGCGTCCGCCGCAGCCGTGGACCCTGCCAACCACCAACCTGCGCCCACCCATGCGCAGACTACGCAGAGGCCTGATATCACCCCAGCGTACAATGATCAGACCACCTTTGATTCTGCGTCGGAAGATACGTCAAACTTCAATATTGACTTTGTAGATGACGAAGCCTGGGCCTTCTTGTTCGCCAACGCTGGGTTTAATATTGGCCAGGGCGCATTCTTGTCACAAACCTGAATGCCGCTGACAACGTCACATAATCAATACTTTGCGATAATACTGTATATTCGAACTAGGTTTACTGTAGCATATTCAAAGAACCATCTGTTCCTCTACCTTGATGTCGCTCGCCGAGAATCCGACAAGGAAGCCATACTCGCCATGTATAAAATCCCAGTCTTTCTTCTGCTCGGACCAGATCCTCAAATCATCCATGAGAACCTCCAGAAGAACATCTGTACTCTGGTCTGCGTCGAGGTGGACTTTGGCAAATGCCTTGAGCAGCTTGGGAGGCTCACGCGCTGCCTCCGGATACGACACGTAAAGCTGAACCACTTCCGACGCAGAGACTGTTCCAGTGTTTGTCAAAGTTGTGGAACAAATGACGCGTTCAGAATCAGATGTGGCAGTAGAGTTTGCTATTCGCACAGCGAGATTGTCCAGTTCAAACGTCGAGTATGTGAGTCCATGGCCAAATGCAAATAGCGGATCGACTTTGTGCTCGTCGTACCACCTGTATCCAACATTCAGCCCTTCTTCATAGGGTACGATCAGGTCTGACGTGATCTTGATAGCGTCATGAAGTGTCTTGGGGAACGTCACCGGCAATTTGCCGCTCGGACTGACATCGCCGAACAGCAGTCTCTCAAGCGCCAAGCCAATCTGCTGACCTCCATACCATGACTGCATCACGGCATCGACCTCATCGATCCAGGGCATGAGAATGGCCGAGTTGGTGTTGAGGATCACTACTGTCTTCTTCGAACGTTTGGCGATCCGAGAGATGACTGCGTCCTGGTCGCCGGGGAGAGAAAGGCCAATGTTGCTATCAACACCTTCGGAATGCCTGTCAGACGCGAAGACGATGCTGATATCAGCATTTTCTGCGAGCGAAATTGCTTCTTCGTCCCTTGCTTCGTTGCCTACATCGACTCCCAGTGTGACCCCGTATGCGCCAGTGGATAGCGAGTAGCCCATGGAATAGTTCAGGGCCAAGGAAACCTCATCTCCGGCTGTCAAGTTCGCGATACCTTGAACGGTGTTTCCAAAGTTCGCTCTCGACATATTGGCGATGACTTGTCCGTTGATGTAAAGTACGGCATCTCCCTGGCCGGTCAGGGAGAAATGGTACATCCCGCTCGTGTTGGCCTTGAAGGTGCCTTCGTAAACGCAAGAAAAGACTTGGGGCCATGACACCCAGAGCTCCTTTGGGAAGGAGGCTGCGGTAATGTTGGGTACGAAGTCCGTTTGGTTGATGGGCCCAGAAAAGTCTGTGGTGGTGTAGTAGGTGACATTCAGACCATCGTTGACAAACATGCTGGAAGGTACCGTTAGAAACTGCCCGGTGCCAGGATAGGCCTCCGCGTAAGTAACTGTCATGTTGCCTTCTTTGCCAGCTCGCTGCTTCAATGCGTCCAAAGGCGATTGCACTACCATTGTCGTGTCGATCACGAAGCCGCCGTGGTTCTCCGTAACCTGGCTTTGGTTGGTTCCGTCAACACCGTATACGGCAACATGCTTGTATTTCTGTCGCGAGAGAGGTAGCGTATGGTCGTCATTCTTAAGAAGAACGGAGCCGTCCTCAGCCATCTTCTGAGCCAGATCAAGATGGGATTGTGTTCTTGCCACCGACTCTGCATCTCCAGTGACTGGATTGTCGACCATTCCAAGCTTGAAAATATATCGCCACGTTCTTGCAACCATGTCGTCGATGCGCGAGGCTGGTATGGTTCCGTTCTCGACAGCCTCGACCAGAAGGTCTCCGTAGTAGGCTGGAAATCCATATGAATCCTCGAGAGAACCTCCAGGCATGCTGATATCTAGACCAGCCATTACAGCGCCAACCGTACTTCGTGTGGAGAAGTACCAATCAGCGACAACGAAGCCTTGAAACCCCCACTCCTGTCTCAATGTAGTGTTCAGAAGCCAGTCGTTTTCGCAAGCGAAGAAGCCGTCCAGCTTATTGTAGGAACACATTATAGAGGCGGCATCTGCCTCTTGAACAGACGCCTTGAAAGCAGGTAGGTAAAGCTCGTGCAGAACCCGCTCGTCGATGTGGACGTCAACGGTATCCCAATCAGGACCCACCCCGAATCTATTAGTGTCTTGATTGTACCCAGCAAGATGCTTGGGACAAGCTAAAGCTCCTTGACTTTGGACGCCCAGAACACCCGCCACGGCCATTCGGGAAGTCAACCATGGATCTTCTGAGAAGGTCTCGGCTGCGCGGGCCCATAGTGGCGACCGAAGGATGTTGATAGTCGGTGAGAGAACGACATTGCGGCCCTTTGCCATATGTTCTTGGGCTAATGCTTGGCCATAAGCGTACTCGAGGGTAGTATTCCACGAAGCCGCGGCGGCGATTGGGGCCGGGAAGGCGGTGACGTTGTTCAAGTTGTTTCCAACCCCAGCCGGGCCATCTCCCATGCAAATTGAGGGTACCCCGAGAGTCTCATTGCCAGAGATGTGTCCTATGCAAGGGTTGACTCCAGTTCCGTTGTCATCGAGCTCGGTATCGCCTTGTACCATAGCATATTTCTGGGTGTTGTTCAACTGGTCGAGGAAAAGTTGCAATCGCTGTTCGTTTGGCAGTGTTGGATCTAGCCATGGCCGATTCGCCAGGGTCTGTGATGATGCATGTACCTGCGTCAAGGTGTACAGCAAGCCTGTCCAGACCGTGATGGAGACATACATCTCGCGGTGAAATAATCGTTCTTCGATCGAATGTGGCAGACTTGAAGATAGCCAGAGTTAATCATTAAGTAGACAAGGTACCTATGTGTGGCCTAAGTATTAGTGAGTTTTGCGGAGGTACTGCCATGATTACTCCGCACTCCGCAGTTTGTCCCTGGGATATGGTAGCAGGCCGATAGAGAAGCCGAGATACCGGTATCGTGATAGTTAGCCTGGATGAATGCCGATGCTGATAAAGTCGACCAGTAACATTTTGAAGTACTATTCTATCTCTAGAAATGATCAGATTATCTGCGCCGGCCTCTTATTGTCGCCTAATGGCTCGTGTGGTGGGCCTGGCATTAGCGTGGCTGGTTAAACGCCGGCGGTCGACATTGAATGCCGGTGTCTTCAGGCCCCAAATGTGGTATTGATTCAGCTAATCCGACATGCGGCAGCAAATGTCTTCCATAACTCTCGTATACTTGAGCGCCAACATTTCTCGCGTCTAGTCACAAATCGATCATGTTCGTTGAACGTTTCCATATATGAGTGGTGCGCGAGACCCAGAACACGCCATGTATTCGATGTCGGCCGGCGCAGCTCGGTGCCCAGGTGGTGTCGGTAGGTTCGCGGACGGTGTCATTTCGCTAGGCGATTGCGAGCTAATCGGTCTAGAGCTGATGGATATGTCGCATGTCTGATTATAGGACGCAGGTGATGGACATAGCCAGAACGCGTAGCATAGTTGAGCGCAAAAGTGGGAGGCATTGCGGACGCCGGGAAGCTGGCGCTGGGCTGCCATGGGGCCCGCGGGCAGCGCACGTTGTGCCGCAGGTCACGTGCGAACGGCCGCTCGATACGCCGATGTCCGATGCTAGCGTTCTTTGGCCGCCATGATGCCGCTCGCGACCTTGAGATTGTGTCGCAGCTCCAGCCTCAGCGCTATCACTCCCTCGCTGCCATGTAATCAAACAAGTGTCGGCTTGGTTGAGGGCGAGAGAAACTTATCACGATCCTCCATTTCTCCCGTTTACCCCTCTCATGCTGCTTCTCCATCGGCGTCCACTGCGAACTCCAGGTCGCATCACAAGCTCTCCAGGGCTCGCTGAGATTCACAGTGCTTTCTTCATCGTCACGCGCGCAGCTGTTTTGAAGACCGTCAGGGTAATGTAATGACCTGTTTGCGCAAGATGGTCAATGGCGATGTATTGACGTGTTCGCCATTCAAACATACCTCCGTCCTCATCACACCCACCGACCGCCCCCATTCATGGGTACATTCAAATTCTGCAATACTATGTGAACCCTCCGCTGTTCGTAACATCCAACACTTCCAACTTCACGCATATCCAGAGCATCGAACGCAACCTCAGCACTACACTTATACATATAAATGGAAGACCCGGGCTTGTATACATTTCTGTTCTTTCCCTCATCCTCTCGCTTCCTCTCTCTGTTGCTATATCTCTTAGGTGTCTCAAATCAGAGCCATCACATCTGCCAGCTCATCCTGACTTCAGCTGCTACCCTTCGCTGTTATTCCCACACAATTCCCTTGCTCACCGATGGCTGCTGGCCCTCCCGTAGGTCAACCCTGGCTCGCCAACGTCGGTAACAACCCCAACATCAACCGCGAACCACCTCCTCCTCCCTATAACGCAGGTCCTGCACCTCCAGCTCATCAACCCGGCGCACCCGCAGGAGGTGCCCAAGTCGTTGTAGAACAGCAACACGCCCCTATCTACGGCCCTCCCCTCGGCATTGGTATCGGCGGACCAGCATACGGCATCCCTCCACCATTCGGTGGTGTCGGTATAGGTGCGTTTCCACCCGTCTTCCCACCTGTCGGCGTCATGGACCCCTTTATGATGGGCGGATACATGGGACCTGCTGGCGGTCCACTTGCTCCTATTCGCGCGGGCAACTTTCTTCCAGGCGCTCATCACGGTATAGGCTTTGGTCTGCACGCGGGCGGTGTACCGTTCCCGCCGCCTCCTCCAGGCGCTATCGCCGGCGTCGTGCCTCCTTTCGCTCCCGCAGCGCCGCTGTGGGCGGGAGGCGGTCTCGCTTTCGGTAACGTACCTGCCATGGGTGGGGTTGTTGGTGGAGTCATGCCTGGTATGATGATGGGCGGCGGTATGATGCCTGGCATGGTGGCTCCTGGTATGGCAGGCGCCCAGCACTTCCGTCCCGCGCCCATGTTCCATGACGGAAATCACGGACACCCAAACCAGCCTGCGCAGCAAGATGTCGGCCAGATCGCTGGCGGCATCCCCCCGGGAGTCATGCTCGTCGAGTCGGCCGAACACACCATCTTCTACCGCATCACAGGCAATCTCTGCCCTTGGCTTTCTCCTGGCTCGCAACTGCCTCTGGAACCGCTCGCTGCGGCTAGTACTACCGGTCTCAACCGCCTCATCCAGGTTTGCAACGGTGGTACTCCTGAAGATGAGTTGGAGCATTGCGCAGTCACGGAGTGTATTGAGTTGGGTAACGGTTTGTGGGAGAAGGGTCAAACGTTCAAGTACAACGACGCGGTTTCTAGGGTCTTGACGATGAAGGATGCTGGTTGGGACAATACGAGGAACAGGGGGAACGGTAACAGCCTTCATCTTTGGGGCCACCGTCTCTAGACGCTGGCTGGATGTTTTGTATGGTGTCGAAGTCGTCTTCTGGACTCGGCGGTTCTTGGCACTTCTCGCTGCTGGCGTGGATTACGTCTTATGATGGCCTGGTGTTTTCTGCATGCATGGTAGGCGCTGGGTCTATTTGTTGTTACTGGATGATGTTGATGATACTGCATCACTTTAGCTATCTTCAACGATGAATGAGTAAACGGTGTATGAAGATGTTCATGAATCTTTGATCAATCAATTCTCGAGCCACTTGCTAATGTCGTAATGCATAAGTGTACGTCAATTATGTTGTTGACGGTGCCTGGTTCGCCTGCTTCTTCTTACCGCCACCCAACTTCCTCCACAGCTTGTTTATCCAGCGCTCCTTCACCATCTTCAGAACCACATAGGCGAGGAACCGATAAACGATAGCGCAAATCCCCAGAGCCATGAGATTCATCTTCGGGTTCTTGTTCAGTTTGTACAAGTCCAGCACCTGCTCTCCAGTTTGAATAGGGCACTGCCCATTCACCTTCTGCCACTCTTCACATGTAAACTTCAGGCCACGTAGCGTATACGGCGCCATATTGCCAACAGCCCACTTCACAGGCGAAAGATGATTCCACGCCTGCAGAAAGTCCGGAACGTCGAGCGACAACACACCACCCATGACCTGCGCAACACTGAGGAAAACCGACATGCAGTTCACTGAGAAGCCAGTATGGGTGAAGAGCGTGTTGAAAGCGATACCTAGACTCTCGCCGCAGCTGGTGATGCAGAAGGCGTTGAAGGTGATAATGAAGTACGTTTGCGCATTGCGTTCCAGGCCCACGGCGAAAACGGCAAGGACGGAGAAGACGAGGCAGCTTATGATTTCGAAGGGCGTGGTGATGGAGATGTAGGTGAGGAAGAAGGCTTCGACGCCGTAGATGCGGTCGTCGTAGTCGCGGTAGAAGACGTCTCTCTCGATTGGGTAGACGGCGATGTTGTTGAGCACTGACTAAGGTTAGCATGGTAAGAGGATGTGGGCAGGAGGGTTACGTACTGCCGACGAAGTAGAGCGGGGCGATCTCGACAAGGAATCCCATCCTGTTTTGCACGTATTCGTAGTCGGTCTTCAATGGTGCAAAGTAGAGCGCAAGCACGATACCCAATCCGACAACTTGCATAACGCGCGCGATCAGAATGTCTGGCTGCCGGAACATGTTCTTCGTCGCACGCCGAATCAGAATCGAATATGCTGCGGCGAAAGACGATGGTTCTCGTGCCATGCTTCCCAGCTCAGCCGGCGTAGTTATTGACCCAGTTCGAGCGACAGGGTAGACATCAGCGTTCCACGACTCGACCAACTTGCGTACCTTCTTCCGACTGGCGGCCTCACGTCTCTCATGCTGAAGGTCAACAGTGATCAAATCGAGAGCAAAATCCGCTGGGTTGACGTGACGAGGACATTCGTAGCCCAAGTTGGCGAAATGGCCTAACATGTTGTCGGCAGGGCCGGCATAGATGGGATGTCCACCGCGGGCCAGGAGCAGGATGTTACCGAAATGTGCGAAGAGGTCGCTGCGAGGTTGATGGATTGTAACGATGAGTGTACGACCTTCTTGGGCTAGACCGCGAAGTACGTCCACGATTGACAGTGCTGTGAACGCATCCAATCCCGACAAAGGCTCGTCAAGCAACAGCACTCTAGGTTCTGTGAGTACCTGCACAGCGATTGTCACTCGGCGCTTCTCGCCACCACTGATGCCTTTGACAAGATCGTTGCCTATGAGGTTGTCTGCGCAGTCTTTGAGACCCATCTTCAGCAAGATCTCCTCGGCTTTCTGGATTTTCTGTTCTTTCGACATCCACTTCGGAAGTCGTAAACCAGCTGCATAACGAAGCGTCTCGCGCACTGTCAGCGACGCCAGCAGTGCGTCGTCATCCTGGGTCACGAAAGAACAGATGGAGTGGACGACCTCTTTGGCCGGGATGAGGCCGTTGTAGCTCATGGTACCGTACTGCTTGTACCGCGTGGATGTGTCGTCTTTGAGTCTCATCGCCATGCTGTTTAGCAGAGATGTCTTCCCAGAGCCCGAAGGTCCCATGATGACGTTCAGCGACCCCGGGAAGAAGTCGGCGGTAAGAGGCTTGATGATGTCCTTGGTCCAGCGCTTCCGTAGCGAACGTTTTTCCACGTCCATTCCATAGCCCTCTAAACGGATGTCGATCGTCCGGACGTTATCTGCCACACGCTCGCTCATCTTTTCTTTGCCAGCAGAGGCGTCCATATTTGACGGTCTGGCACGAGCCATGGCAATCTCGGCGTTCCAGAACTTGAGCAGCACGCCTGCTCCCACGTAGAAGGCGATAGCGAATCCAAGAAGAGCAAGTATTGGCCTCCAAACCCAGTTATTCGGGAAGCCAAGAGAGTCCATGATGAACTCTCCGTCGTACTCTTTGCAGGCTGGGTTTGACCGTCCGCCCTCGTATGGACAATCGTAGAAAGAGCCTGAGAATTCGTTGGCGCATAATGCTCCAAAAGCGTAGAAGACATAGGCTGTCCACTTCGTCCAGCGTACATAGATGGGGATCGTGTTCGACTGGATAAAGTAACCGCAAGCCATAGACTGCAAGGTATAGGCTAGATTAGCCACCAAACTCGCTCCAGCGAAGTGTCTTGAGCACGCGACACAGGTCATAGCGAAGCATACGGCAATATACTGGTGTAATAGTATGATACCGAAGAACGTGAGAAACTGGCCTCCGTCCGCGCGAAATCCGCAGAAGAAGTAGTAGATCAACGAGAAGATGAGAGGCACTGGTACATCCTCGAGCAGAATTCTGGCTAGTCGTCTGGAGATGAGAAAGGCTGGTATGCTGACGACACCTTGTCGTGCCTCTTCGTCGAAGAGTTGGATGTCGGTCGTAAGTCGATATGTCTCGTAGAGCAAGATTAGATAGCCCTGCAGCGCCGCTGCATTGTACAATGCTCCTTGTCGGGATCGTATACCAGATAGTGAGCCATCGAGCTGTAAGAAGATCCACCCTGTGATAACCGCCATACCGATGGCTTCGACAAGACTTCCAAACAAGCCTAGGATCAACCAAGTCAGCGTGCGTTCGATCTATAGAGCTCATATTGAACGTCTTACCCATTGGGTCACGAATCGTCACAGTCCATGTTCGTGCGGTAAGTACACGAGTCTGCTGCATGAGCGACGTTTTACCGGCACGTTGCTTCTTCCTCTGGTCGTGCGTCATCGTAGTGGCCGGAACTGGTGGTTCGGACTTCTCTTGAAGGCTACTACTGCAATGAGACCTCCATGCTTCTATTACGCGACCAACTCGATCCTGTGCCGCCTTCTCTGCTTCCACGCTCCGATTGTCGACACTGACGACGTCGATGAGATACTCCGCTGGATTCGTAAACGGAGGCATTTCATGACCAAGCTTAGCAAAGTACGGAAGGCATTCTTTTGCGCTGCCAGCATACGCAGGACTGCCCCGAGACAAGAGGATGACATTGTCGAAAAGATCCCAGATCTCGGAGCGCGGTTGGTGGATGGTGACGATGATGGTCCGTCCGTTTCGAGCAAGAGTCTGGAGGGTTTTCACCACCTGGTGGGCGCTTGTCGAGTCGAGTCCAGTGGTCGGCTCATCCAGCCACAAAAGCGAGGGATTTGATAAGAGCTGGACGCCGATACTCGTCCTCCTCTTCTCTCCGCCACTGCAGCCCTTGTGCGCGTTGTTACCGATCCTGGTATCTGCAGCTTCTTTCAAGCTCAGCTCCAAGATGACTTCTTCCACCAGCTGCTTCCTCTCTTTTGCGTCAACAGAAGAGGGTAGTCGCAGTTGTGCAGCATACGTCAGAGTCTCTCGGACCGTCAGCGTCGGTAGAAGAATATCCTGCTGTATGACATAGGCGCTCCTGATGCCGGATGCATCCTCGCTACCGTTGAATAGGGTCCTTCCTGAAGTGGCAAGTCGGTTTCCTACTGCCAAACGCCCACTCATGGAGTTGAGTAACGATGTCTTTCCGCTTCCGCTTCCACCTATTATGGCTGTGAGGCTTCCACTTGGCATGTCCGCCGAAATGTCGTCAAGTATAGTCTTGACATGGTTGGTCTCTGGTGACGCCTTCTTCTTCGAGAAGGCACGAGCAAGTGCCGTTGGCGATTCATCGACTGAAACTGTGAGGTGTTCCAATCGCACAGAAACCGGGTCAACTGCGCGCAATGAGATGCCGTGGTTGTCGCTGAGATCGGTAGTTGTGGAGTCTCCGCGGAGTGCTGTGGGAGGTGTTGCAGGCGCCGCTTCTTCTTTGGGGCCGGGCGGAGCGCCAGCTGACGCCGAGGGTCGCCCTTCCTCGTTTCCCTGCATAGGCCCTGGCTCCATCGTCTCTAGTGACTCCATACCTGGGGTTTGGTTAAATGTTCATGATAATGCAGTCGCAAAGGATGAAGCGCGCAGCGCGCATGGATTTCTTCAGTCGCCGCTCACATGTCACGACGGAGATTCTTTGGCGCGATACGACGTTGTTCAAACACGCCCGCCTCGCTTGCCAGCCGACCTGCATGCAGGGGCTTGGCCGGACTCTTCTCCTACAGGTCTCATTCTTACTTTTCTATAGTTCGCAGCTCGTTCTTTGAAACTTGCAAAATCAATTCGATGGCTTGCTGTATATTAGCAACTCACATCGCGAAGAACTGGTGTTGTTCGACGAGCCTGGCTACGGCTGACAGTATGGAGGAGGGTTCAACCTCGCAGAGCTGTTCAGACCGGGGGCGGGCAAAACCCCAGCTCGGAAGAGCAGCGTTCCAGCCAACTTGCCAATCTTGGGTAGCGGAATCCTGCGCGAGATGCATCTTTATGCAAATGGAATTTGAGCAAGCAAAATAAACGACGCTGCCAATCAAACCTTCGAACATCCAGTAGAAAGGGTACAAATATAGACGTCCGAGGCGATTGCTCAGGGTTTGTGTTGGTTAGGCCTCCTCTCTGTTCTACAGTTCGTTGCATTGCGTGGTGCTGGCTCCTCGGGGGGACCTTTCGATAGTGCGCGTCTGCTTCGGAGGGCCCGATGATGCCAACCACCCCGCATTAGAAGACATTGAGGATGCAGGTGATCTAAAACGCGGACGGCCTTGAACATGTGGAACCCCGTATGAGATATAGAGCCAGGGCCCAAAGAGTGATTACTGAGCAAAACCCGATTCAGTGTGAACGATAGACCTCGATAGTATACGCGTGAGACGCTGAGAGCCACTGTTCACTTACCGACGGTACGTACCTCGATACGTACCACGCCTTACGCGAGACTCTTCACACGATAAAGATTCGGGACGGCCTCCCTACCTGAGCGAGGGGCTGGGTCTCACGGCCCGATTACGAGTGAACTCCACATCGCTTCCGAAATCTCATATCTAGCTTTCGGCGACGAGTGGGCCAGCAACAAAGTTTGCGGAATCAGTAGCGGCAGCGGGAGGATTGTTCGATCTCCAGAAAGAATGGTATCCACCTGGATAAAGAAAGCAGAACAGCCTCGGGAGTCTGCAATTGACAGCTGCCCCCTGTGTCTTGCGTCGGAACACCCTTTTGTATTTCGCTCGATGCGGCGTCCTATTGGGCAGGGCCAACTTTCCGAGTTGCATTCCAAGGAAGTTCCACCAACCCATTATTCACATCGATCTTGAAGGCCTGATTTGCGGACGGTAAATAAATCCGCTGTCGTTTCCAAGTTTGCAATGCGCGGAGATGCGCGAACGGACCGGCTAGTCCCAGATCTTGTTGTCTTGATGAAATGCAGGTGCGAAGACAGCGGGAGATGTACCATCCTGCCTCTCCAATGTGCACTAAGACCGAGACTACGGCTTCCAATGCCGAATATCTACATACCGTAGGATCACCAATGATGTCTTGAGCTTCATGGGTGCGTCTTGAAGATGTTTCGCTTTTTGGACAGCCACAATATTGTCAAATGTCGAATCCGTATAGGCAGCGCGTTGGGCAGAAAGATTTGAATCCTAAAGTTTTGGCGCGCCGGACGTTGCTTCCAAGCCTGTCACTGTCACTCCGCCACCTCCATTCCACAATTATTGACAGCCTTCACTTACGATGCCGTCGCTTGTCGCAACGGTTTTGCGGCTCATATGATCGCCAGTAGGCACATATCACGCCCTTAGCCATTAACCAGCTTTTGCATAGTGGATATCTTACACCCATCACCACCTGGGTACCCTGCCGCTTTCCGATCGTCGACAACAAGCTGCATCCTAGTGAATGCCCTACTTTCTATCTGACACTCGCCGTGGGCGGCCTTGATGGCCGAAAGCCACGCGATGCTGTGGAATGCTGACACAACCTCGCTCTTCGTGTCAGCTGCAGGTCCGTTGAAGGACGTCAGCCAACAAGGCTGCATATGACCCTATCCGGACATCTAGTTCGCATGGACAAGCAATCACGTTATCCTATGCCGACTAGACTGGGAATATTGATGGCTTGCGTCAACCGCCACGCGCGTCCTGCCTCGTGGACTGGGTCCAGCTAGCTACGCTGACATCGGTGTGAGATTATTCGCGAATAACGGTGTAGGGTTTGACGTCTACATCCCACGAAGCCAGTGATGCACCCCGAAATCTGGCATTTTCACCGGCATTATCAGGATGAAGGACGTTCCATGCAGGTTGCATATGCAGGCACCATCGTACGAGTAGTGGTTCATGGCTTTTGTGTTGCATCGCGAGTCGCGTATGTATCTCTCAGGGTCGGAGTTATATCCATGTTCAGACGACAGATATATGCGAAGTACGTACCCAGATCCGGTATGTACCGGTAAGATGAATACAGTACATCACCAAGTGAGTAAGTGGAAGGTAGATCGGTGGGTGGCCTCGGAAATAATCAGAGACCTATTTACGACTCAGATGCGAACGGTCTGATGGCTCTAGACTCTGGACTCTGGAGTCAACGGGTAGCTGCTGTAACCCTACTGTTGTCCCCGGGCTTATCGCTGGGGTCTCTGGGATCATGTGGTTGTAGGGGACATCGGGTCAGGCTGGAATAGATGACGGAAGGTGTCAGAAATTGCCCTCTCGATGTTCGCCTTGCGTGTGTGACTACGTATACCCTCGATCTGTGACGTTAAGTAACCCACGCGACTGGGTGTCAGGCCATGTGCGCAACGTCGCGCAAGATTTCACGACATCGGTCCTACATTGAACCATGAAAAGAAATCGGCATCGTCTCAGGACCATGCTCTCTGCTCCTCTCGTCCATCCATTGAGACCTAGTGTCAGGTACCGACGGCGCGTTCCCTCGAATCAGGCTATATATTCAGACCCTTCCACCGGGCCTTTCGGATTATACCCCCCAACTCTGCCTAAGAAGCGTGGGGGGTTGCATTCCAGATCGTCCAGGTCAGAAGGACCGATGGCGTGCCGTGGCTTTCCTGCTTTGTCGCTGTTGAATCCGCATAGCTGGTAGCAACGTTCGTCATTGCGCCGCTGGGGAAAGTGTACCGGTCCCATCGGATGCGGGTTTGGGCCGGACGAACGTAACCGTAACCGCCCTCCCAAGCCGCGACAAAGAGATGTGCGACAACACCCCACGCATGCCGTTTTTTGAACCTGGTACCCTGGGCCGATCTGCCTAACGGCTTGTGTCGCTTTACAGTGGGCTCCGGCAGTGCGATGAAGGATAACTCTTCTCATTGTGGATGCTTACTTTACTCGCTTCTGAAAAGATGTTGATGATCATCGCCCGGTTATATGCACATGGACTTTCTGAGTTGTGGCTGCATGCTGCGCGCTCGAGTCATGAATCCCATAGCGACGCCAGGCGATGAGTTCGTTCCAACGAGGTCGCGGAGGAAGCTCGCCAAAGCGTTTGATTGCTGGTAAGCGGATTGGAGGAAGAACGTGCCCGCAGGAATCTAGATGCTGTGGCACGGTTGGTGCTTACGGTTACCGTGTGCACCAGCGCCGCACTATAGCTCCTCACCTTATCACCGAGGCAGATCGTGATCGCCCATTAAGCCATGCGTTCCCTGCGACGTTGCGATGAGAGCTCTGTGAGCGGAGTGGATACCAGCGTGCATTTCTGTGCCGTGAGGCTACCTGCATATATACGTGTCGTCATCGTACTGAGAAATAAGGGAATGCCGGCCTGCTATCGGACCTATTTCAACAAGTGCTGCAATGCCATGTGTACGAGCATGCCTCGCCCATGCAGGGTTGAGTGCATCGCGATCTGACATGCACCGCCCAAAGCCAAACGCCGCCCGGCTGAACACACGGGCTGTGTGCGAGACAAAACATTGCCAAGAACAAAACTGTGCCCCATGAAAAATCCAATCCGAAGTAAATGCGAAGACATGCAGTGCCGTTTTCCCATACCAATAACACAATACCGTCGGGAGCACACCCAGCCAATGCAACCTAATCGTGAGGCCGTAGTGCGTCGTTGCCGGTCCGAGCCTTGTAAACCGCCCTCCGACGACCCACCAGATATCATGACTCCTTTTTGCGCCCGCAGAAACACCGATTGAATAAGGAACCCTAAATGCCAAGTCTGAACCTCAAAGGTCGTGTTGTACCTCCACATGCCGACGCTGTGGCATCGCCATGAGAGCCGTGCGCAAGGACCCGAGTCCCACGCCGACCAAGCCAACAAGCGACGTGATAACGACTCTCCTATGGTGATGAGCCGAGATTGGTGAGTGAAGATCCCATGCGGAACGTTCACAATCCGAGTGTTGGCAAAGAAAAACTCTTTCGTGCGTCCTGCAGGGCTCACGTAGCGAGAAAGTCCCAGCCCCGGAGTTTTATCAGCCTCTCCCAATCCCAGCTCTCCTTTTGCACCTCTGGGTCGGGGGATGACATCAGCTCCCAGACCTGGTCAACGACTTCTTTCGCGAAGCCGATGTTGCCTAGGCCTGTGCAGGCAATGAGGCCGTTGAACGCCCGGTTGATCTCCACACGCTGCTCTTCCTCGAATGCCGCGCACCCGATCAAGAACAGGGGAAGTAGAACGTTACTTTGGACCCACCCTTCCGCTGGCAGTTCGTTGATGTATCGGATGCCGTCGTCGACGGCGCTCTTGATGAATGGGTGTGGCTTCGAGTCTTTCGTTGTGCGGTAGAGATAGACCCAGGTTGCCTGGCGATAGAGCATCGAGATGGTGTAGCGCGGAGATCCGGGTGGATGGGGGCATACCCATCCGCGAAGGCCGGCGTCGATGGCATGGGCGGCGAGTAATGCCTCGTAGTCCATGACAGGCTCCTCTTTGTCGTCAATGCGACTGCGTATTTTTCGTCGCAGGTTGCTGATCTTGGATATGAAGCCGAAGAGTCCGTCAGAAACACCGATCAACCCCGCGGTCTCCGGGCTGATCTTGAAAGGGAGGTTGAAGTCGTCCATCATGGGAACCTCGGTGCCGTCAAGGGAGGTGATCTGACTGGCGATCCAGTGGTAGTAGAAGAATTCGTCGAACAGGGTCTGGAACTCGGGGTTGGAAGACTTCTGTGTCATGGCGATCTGTTTTGCTGCTATCATGTGCATCCGGTATTCGCCGGAAGTGTTACCATCGCAGATGGAATGCAGAAGATGCAGTAATATCTGAGCAACGTTAGAGTCCTCGTAGACCATTACACCACCTTCACCAGCTTTTTGCCGTTCAATGTCGTGCTTGAGAAGCTGCAAAGCCTTGCCCCGGTGAAAGACCTGCCTGTCCTCGTACTCCTGTAGTGGAGTGACCGAGTACATGTGAGAGGCCGACAGGCACAGCACGGAGTGCATCAGGCCTTCGTGTTGAAGTGCCATGGGCAATAGGATCTTGGTGAAGGGGTTCGACGACTTGTCCCCGTGTAACGTTAGGACAGCACTCGCTCTGCTGGAGAAATGTTGCAAAAGCTGACGGTCAAGATCATTTTCGACTCCTTCCATGAGAGGCGGGAGGTCGAACTTGACATCCGAACTTCGCTTCCGAGCTGTTGGAAGGTTAGCTTGGCCCACTACCAAAAAGCAAACACGCAATGCAAGACCACATACCTTCTGCAGCCCGTTCCTTTCCACTCTTCCAGATTTCGACGGGCTTGTAGCCTTCGCAATGGATGTTGTTCTTCTGACACGACAGGCCTGGACAGCATTAGTACCTGTTCCATGATCACGATGCCAGGGCACAATTACAGAATGGCTTGGTCTCGTCGCACTTCTTCTTCCTTTTCCGACATGTTGTGCACCCCGTCTTCGATCGGGCTTTTGCTTGCTTAGCAAGAGTGGTAGGTGAGCGAGGAGGGTGTATCCTGGGTCGGCCGCGGGCGCGGCGAATCCGTACAGGTTCGGTTGGGGAGATGGGTGTGTCTTCCGGAGACGCCTCTTCCTTGACATCGGCCAACTGAAGTTCCGTCTCTTCCACCTTGGGTACTACTTCGAGGGAACCCGTTCGTACATCTGATCGCTCCTCTGATTGTGATTCCGACGGGCTAAATATGTTCGAATCGAAGTTGGGAGTGGTAAACGGGGAGTCGCTAGCGGACGACATGGAGGGCTGGGGCGATGAGCTTGTGCTCAAGCGGTTGCGAGCGCCTGGCGGCGAAGGGCCGAAGGAAACGGTCGAGATCATTCGAGCCAGAGTTGGGAAGGTTGTTGGACTACTGGTGCGAAGAAGCGCGCATTGGGTGTCCAGTCCGTTCTGCGCGCGAGTGGTAACACGAAAGAGTGATGTTCCTCTAGATGCGTCGGAGCCGAGAACGATTCAATGCAACGAGTGGCAACCAGGGGGTATCTTGTACTTCTGCCGTTCAATGCTAAGCAGAATAGTACAAGTGGTAGAACGACGCGGCAGCTGTTCCAACGAGAGTAGAGCAGAGTGTCGCAGAGGGGTCCAAGCGGTCCGCTCCTGATGCCTCGAGCGATCGCACGGTAGGTTGCGTGAGAGCGGGGGAATGCGTCTTTAGCGAGTCGTGGGCGTCCGCGGAACGTCCAATAGGATCTGGGTGGAACTAACGGCAAAACTGCGTCGTTCCGAGATGAACGGCTGAGCTGAACACAGACCCGGTGCGAGAGCAGGGGTGGGCGAAAGCCAGTTATGTTGGAATTGGAACGGGGTAAGCGGTCGATGTCGATGTCGTACACCCAGGGGGGTTGTAAGTAGCGTGGGCGTGCGGAGAAGCGACAGAAAGTGTGTGAGAGGAGATCTGCTTGAACGAGTGGGATTTGTCGCTAGGTATTAATGTGCAGCCTGGATAGCTTCGAACCGGGTTGCGCAGCAAGGTAAAGGCGAGAGGATATAGTGTGTTCAAGTAGCGTCGCAGCGACGACACCAATTCGCCTCTAATGATGGTAATGGAGGATAATCCTAGAACGAGTCCACTGGTCCCGCTGTAACCATCGCCCTGGGCCGCCGTCGACTTAAAACAGTGAGTAGGCCGACGCTCGATTTGAAGCACCGGGCAGGCGAAGGACAGTGTTGACGACAACCCAAGACGTAGCGAGGGCTGCAGTTGGCTTCGTGAACAGTCGCCGGTGTGAGCGCTAAGTCGTCTGGAGGCTGTAAACCTCGTGGAGCATTGAAACGTGATGTTCCTAGTGTATGTATCGAATGGTGCATGAATCGCTTTCGAGCGGCTTCATATCTTGGTTCGCAGGCCTAGCCACTCCTCAGATCTCGTTGGCTGCACCGTCTTCAGCTCAAGGCGGACAATTCAGGATCAGCAGCAGGTCTTGTGCAAACGCCGTAGGACACCTTTCCCGGCGACGCACTACTTTGATCGCTCAATCGCTGACAATCAGATCCGGTTCGCCATGTATTTGAATTGCTCCATGTGCTATCCACCATCACCACACAAACGCCATCATTTCACGGCCGCGCACGCAAATGGCTAGTCGGTACGCGATACTTGAGGCGCCCCTAGCCGATAATCAGCCCCACGCTAGGATGCCCAGCCCATCGTGCTACATCTCCGCGATGTCTTGTGTGTGTGACCTGACGACACTACTTCTCCACCTTTGCGATCCGGTCGAATCGGACCTTGTCATCTGGTTATAGAGAGTTATTGAGCGCAGCCGGCAAGACGATCTTAACATGCTGACATCCCGACCAGGCCGCATCGAGTGTTTCCAGCATCAAGCCACACCTGGCACGTCAGGGATTGCGAGGCCTGAAGATCATCACAATAATGACAGCAGCGTCTGGTAGGTCCAGCGATTAACGGCCGGCCAAAGTTTGTTTGAGATGTCATAAGCTCGCATACACCCTCCCCGCAATTGGTAAGCCTATCAGCAGGTCGCGATCCGAGCACTGCAATATTTTGTCGTTGGGTTGGGCATTTTTTTCGCGAGCAGTATAGATGTCAATTCTCAAGCAAGGGCTTCCGCTTTTTGGGCTTCGTGCTTTCGAAACCGTGGTGTCGCACGGTGGACTTCCCTGCGTGCTGAGGATCTGGTTACTTTGCGGCCGGAGCGGGACGACGGGCACAAAGGCACGCTCCCAAAGCTGGCTCCAGGGCGGGTTTCCGCAGTACCCTGACTTCGGTCCCAGCCGAAAGCTTTGACGGACTCGAGTGCAGAGCCCGATAACAAGCCGCCTCTCCTTGCGTGACGAGATGGTCAGGCATGCTCTCAAAGACCAAGGTTTTTGCAGTCTTGAGACGCGTCGAAATGTGATTTGGGCAGCATGCTACGGCGTTCTTCGAAAACCGCTCGCAAGTGCCTAGACCCACCACCGGCAGATGACCGTGAATCAAGTTGTCGAAGCTCCTCATTTGGCATGATTCGATGAAAAGTATCATGTCTCGGACCCGCCGTCTCATCGCAAGGTGGAGCCTAGTTCCCATTCTCGATCTTACCGTCCCCAATTTGGAATCAGCAGTGGTCTTCTTTGAAGTAAATGCCCGTCTCGACGAGTGCATGACGTAGCATACGACTTATTGCACAGTATTCTGATAACCGACACAGAGATCAGATGAACTCAAGAAAGATGGGTCAGACAATTGTCCCTGCGTGGTGATAGCGGCGCCCCGATGGCTGACCGTTGTTAGCCCGTTTTTGCGTAACGAAAATGACGGACGTATGCAGCCGAAGGGGACAGGCGAATGACTTGCATAAGGACCTTAGCGGCGTGCTTTGGCTGCGGGGTCACTTCCCGTCCCATTCGCCAACACTATTGACGCAGACAACAGGTGCAGACGGCTGCATATGCACCAAGTGTTGAGCCATGATCAAAACATGTCTGGTCTGGAGTTGGGCGACTCGCAGTAGTAGTATCAAGGGTTCCATGAACGGTTCGTGAAAACTCCCGACCATTCCGTTTGACATCTGTCATGACGTCTTGTCCGGTACTTGCGTGGGTACAATATCAGGAGATGATCAGACGTGTTCTTGCCCTGGAGGCCACCCGTGTCTGCTGTACATGAGCCAGGATGAGGTTTGTTGAATGCGCAGTGCGACTCCTGCATGTTTGTGGCGCGGGCTGAGTGCTTTGCATGCCGGTCTCGTTCCGAAGTTCCGCCTTGGATGCTAACGCGACTTTATTTGCAGCCTCATACGAAGATTCCGAGTTGCTACTCACAGTTGTATCCTGATAGTGTTCGGTGTGCCTCGTAACGCCCTCACAGGACTTCTACCTGGCCGATACAGTACATATTTGCTTACCATAAGGAACCCACGGCTCCCTAGATTTCCCAGCGGATGCAGGCGCGGGCGGGTGATCGACTAAATTCGAAAAGTACGGGACTGTTTGTTGCCGCTGTCTGCGAACACGTATGCGGCGGGGCCTGCTTGACTCTTCAGGGTTGACCTGCAGTACAAGTTGCATACCATAGGCAGGAGCTAATGAACCACACCAAAACAAACCCAGTAGACGGAAACGATGTGGGTGTAGGAATGCTTCTAGCGGCAGGTGGTGCTGCGAGGGTTGGGTGGATGTGTTTCGGGCTTACCTAGGTACCTAGGTGATTGACGAGCTCTGCCGCAGCAGGTATTGTGTCGTAGCTCCAAAAACAGCAGCTTGTATCGCCCACGTTGCAAATTGTTATGAGGTAGGCGATATGTCGCTCGTGGTGCCTTTTCGTAGCACGGGCAGCAGGGTGGTAATGTTCACGTGATCTGGGATCAGACGCGCGGATCAATTGGTCCCCGAGCTCCGACGCGCTTAGACGCGTTCGGCCATGTTGTCACTGCTCAAGCATCAACTAACGAGACAACATCACCGCCTCACCATATCAACCAGCGTGCGAGCACCATGCGTACAGAGACTTAGAGTCGCCTAAATCACACTGAGTAGCGGCTGCAACTATGTTCAACTTCACGCCCCTACTGGGCGCACAGAGCTCCTCACCCGCGTCGCAGTCGTTGCTGGAGTTCGATGGAGGCATACAAATCTTGATCGATGTTGGCTGGGATGAAGATTTCAGTGTAGAGAAGCTCAAAGAGATAGAGAGGTAGGTCCTTGATCTGGCTGCGAACGCGATGTGGAGCACAGCTGAAGTATGGGCTGTTCATATGTGCTGCACGCGCCTGGGAAACACGGGCAGCGGGTAGCAAAGTCGCTATATAGCAATACACCATACATACAGGATGACTAATTCAGATACTGCAGACATGTCCCCACCCTCTCATTCATCCTGCTTACTCACGCGACCACTGCGCATCTCGGAGCCTACGTCCACTGCTGCAAGAACTTCCCTCTGTTCACGCGAATCCCCGTCTACGCGACCAACCCCGTCATATCGCTCGGCCGGACGCTGCTCCAGGATCTGTACGAATCCACGCCGCTCGCCTCGTCCATCATCCCCACCGAAGCTCTCAGCGAGTCCGCATACTCCTTCTCTTCGGCGCTCACGGGTGGAAAGAATCCCAACATTCTTCTCCAGGCGCCTACGTCGCAAGAGATTGCCGATTACTTCGCGCGCATAAATCCGCTTCGATATTCCCAACCGCATCAACCCATCCCTTCGCCGCATTCGCCTCCGCTCAATGGTCTCACCATTACCGCATACAGCGCTGGACACACGTTGGGAGGTTCAATATGGCACATACAGCATGGAATGGAGTCGGTCGTCTATGCCGTCGACTGGAACCAAGCCAGAGAGCATGTTCTCTCCGGAGCTGCTTGGCTTGGAGGGCCTGGCACTGGTGGCTCTGAAGTTCTGGAGCAGTTGCGTCGTCCAACTGCCTTGATCTGCAGCAGCAAGAACACCAGTATGGTCAAGGTGGCTAGATCGCCCAACAAGCGAGACGAGGCCCTCCTCGAGATGATTCAAGACACAGTGGCCAAGGGCGGAACCGTCTTGATCCCCTCAGACTCGAGTGCTCGTATACTGGAACTGGCCTATCTTCTTGAGGAAACATGGGAGCGGGAGGCAACAAACGCGGAAGGGGGCGGTTCACTACAAAGCGCAAAAGTCTATCTTGCGAGTCGAACAGGTGGTGCAACAATGCGATACGTACGCAGTATGTTGGAATGGATGGAGGAGGGCATCGTGAAGGAGTTTGAAGCCAGCGCTGCGGATCAAGATCGGAGGAACAAAAGCGGCAAAGAGGAAGACCGCGCCAGAGTCCCGTTCGACTTCAAACATATCACACTGGTTGAGCGCAAGACCCGCGTAGCTAGGATGCTAGGCGCCAATGGACCGCGAGTGATACTAGCAAGTGATGCGACGCTCGAGTGGGGATTCTCCAAAGATGCTATTCGAAGCCTGGCGGCCGACGAAAAGAACCTGGTCATTCTCACTGAAAGAGCTGGCCAACTGGGCGCCCAGAAGAAGGGTCTCGGCCGATATCTCTGGGAACTGTGGAACCAGCGCAACGCTTCGCCAGGGCAGGACGCTCCTTCTACAACCGTAGTCGATGCCGCGGGCGATCAAGCGCCGCTCAATACTATACGGACAGTCGCACTCGAGGGAGACGAGGTTCCGCTTTATCAGCAGTTCCTTGCCGGCCAGAGACAACGGCAAACTACCATGGGCGGTGATAATGCAGCAATGCTCGAAACATCCGCTGATGTTGTCGACGACCGATCATCCACCGAGTCAGAGAGTTCGGAAGGCTCTGGTGATGGATACCGAGGAAAAGCCCTCAATGCGACCGTCGCTCTTCAACATGCACGAAACAAGCTTGGCATGACAGACGCGGAATTGGGTGTCAACGTACTCTTACGCCGCAAGAACGTCCACGACTATGAAGTCCAAGGAAAGAAAGGAAAAGAGAAGATGTTCCCGTTCCAGGCCAAGAAGCGTCGAGCGGACGACTTTGGTGATCTGATCCGACCCGAAGATTTTGCGCGCGCGGAAGAGGAAGACAACGCTGCTGGGGAAGCTCTTCGTGGTGAAGGGACGAAGAAGGAGAATGCTGTTGGCCAGAAGAGGAGGTGGGACGACCTACTGAACAACACCGACACTAACAAGGCCAACGCCAATCAAAAACGACGGAAAGACAAAGAGGCTCGAGAAGGCGAGGACGGAGAATCGGACAGCGAACCAGAAGACGATCCAGACAAAGTGGAAGGCCCATCGAAAGTCATCATTGAGTCGGAAACCCTGGAAATCCGGTGTCGCATTGCCTTTGTCGACTTTTCAGGCCTACACGACCGCCGCACGATTCAACAGCTTATTCCACTTATCAAGCCTCGCAAGCTGATCTTTGTAGGTGGCGAGGAAGGCGAGACCTTGGAGCTTGCAGAGATCAGTCGCATAGCGCTGAACGCAAACACCGATTCCGCCAATGCCATCGATGTCTTCACACCCACAGTCGGCGTTATGATCGACGCGAGTGTCGATACCAACGCTTGGAGTGTCAAGCTCAGCCGCAGTATGGTGCGCAACCTCCGTTGGCAGAACGTTCGCGGCATGGGTGTCGTGGCCATCACTGGTCGCCTTGCAGCTGCAAGCTTGGAGCCAGAAGTCAAGGAAGAGGCAGATACGCCCGCGAAGAAAAAGGCTCGACTCGATGCCCCTGCTGTTCCGGTGTCTAGCGACAAGAATGACGATACACCGATTCTCGACGTCGTTCCTACAAACATGGCTACCGCTGTTCGATCCGTTGCACAACCTTTCCATGTCGGCGATCTTCGTCTTGCCGATCTGAGGAAGCTCATGAATGCTAATGGCATGCAAGCGGAGTTTAGAGGCGAGGGTGTGTTGGTCATTAACGGGACAGTAGCTGTGAGGAAGACAGCTACTGGCCAGATTGAGATAGATGGAGGTGCTTACGGTAATCTGGATCCAAGGAATAATGATGCAGCGACTTTCTCTAGGGTGAGGAGGCAGATATATGAGGGTTTGGCTGTGGTTGCTGGAGGTTGAGCGTGTGGATATCCCAATTAGGCACAATTCTAGACATTGGTCGATTACGCGACATTGTTCACAGCTCACAGACAAAACAGAATATCTCGAATAAATCAGCTATACATCATTCGACTTCTATGAGACTGGCGCTCATTTAGGCAGGTGCATTATACTGACTATGGTTACGTGAACACCAACGGGTACAATATGAGCGGCCGAATCTGGGAATTCGCCTTTAACAGTGTGAGGCTGATACTAGGCAACTTAATAACCTAATATACTAGCCAAAAATCTGCTAGGTTTCCAGATCGGTGAACGTGCTTCCTCACCGGAGCAAGGCTTTGCATAGCCTCCCTTGGTATCGCAGATGAATTTGGGTTGCGCATCCGCTTTTCTTAGCATGCGTCTTCGTGTGACTTCTGCTCAGCTACAAAAGGTCGCTCTCATTGAACAGTTCGTCAATAACTGTTGTACGTGTTGGTGAGAGGTCATACAGCATGATGTTCGCTCATGTTAGCCAATCAGCCGAATGCAACAGTTTACTTGGGGAGGCACAAATGGCTTGAGGTCACACCATCTCGGTTACTCAGGCTGCATGTGGCGGCTGCCACGTTTAAGGCTGATCGAACTTGCCTTCTAGCCTAGTGACTTTCTGCCATTATCGCCACCCCTCTATCGTCGACATCTCTTTTTCCGTCGTCCGAATGCGTCATCATTAACCAGCTTCCGACTGTAGTTCCATGACCGATTGTTGATCGCACGACGCCTCATACCCCAGCTTCACGTCGTGCTCGTTTCGTCGCATACAAAGCTGTCGACTGGCACCGGTCCCTCAATCTCGCTCTTCATGCGCCTCCTGCATTTCGAAAACGGTCATCTCAGCCTGGTTGAGTTCCAGGGCAACGGCACCCCACCTTACGCCATTCTTTCGCATACGTGGGGGTCAGATCTCGACGAGGTCAGCTTGAAGGACATCGCAGATGGAGTTGCTCTGCAAGACATTACAGATAGCACAAGCCGCAGGAAACCGGGATATACTAAAATTGTCTTCTGCGCAGAGCAAGCAGCAAAGGATGGTTTAGAATACTTCTGGGTTGATACCTGCTGCATCGACAAATCAAGCAGCGCGGAGCTCTCAGAAGCAATTAACTCCATGTTTCGCTGGTATCAAGAGGCGGCAAAATGTTATGTCTATATGTCGGACGTATCGATCAAAGACACCAGCTCCTTCCAAGCCAGCCGATGGTTCACTCGCGGATGGACACTACAGGAACTTGTTGCCCCGAAGGTCCTCGGTTTCTACTCGGTCGAGGGCGAGCATATCGGTGATAAATCCTCATGGTTACAGGAGATAGTGAACATAACAAGGATACCGAAGCGCGTCCTTCAGGGTGGTAATCTCTTTGAGACGAGCGTTGAGGAGCGATTATCGTGGGCAGATACGCGTTCAACTAAACGAGAAGAGGACCTCGCGTACTCTCTTTTGGGTATATTCGATGTCCATATGCCGCTCATATACGGTGAGGGCAGAAGGAACGCCTTCTCAAGGCTCCAAGAAGAGATAACCAAGTCTCGAAGCGGTGAGGCACACTCTACAGGACCCCATCCGTTGTAGACCCAAGCGGTTACCTACTAGCCAAGAAAAGCGCTAACAGCTCCAACAGCAACGGCAATGATGGTGGCATCTAGGCGCATGGGACCAGGTGGGGTTCCCCAGTCGCATAATGCAAACGGTTGCGCACACATAACAGGGCGGACGGGCAATATCAGAGTCGGCGGTCGCGCTGATAATGTCAATACCGGAATTTCTCTCAGAAGATTTGTAAGTGAGATCTTCTTAAACTCAGGCTTTGCTTGAATGTACTCCCACATTTTAGTCGCGAGCGAGCTCTCGAGGTTGACGCCGGCATCATCACTTCAAGTCGAACAGTGCATATCTCTAACGCGTTACTAGGCATCAGACTTACCCTTTTCGACAGGAATCTCCAGAGAAACTGGGTCTGTGGACGTTGGCCTCGATTCTAGCGATATCAACACCGGAGTTAGAATCTGGTGATCAAGTGTCGCCGATGTGGCTGATCCGTTTGAGAAACCCGGATGTATACTATCCATACCGCTGGCGAGACATTTACCGAGTATGTAATATCAGCATACACGTCTTACAGGTCCGAGAACGAGAACTTTCAAAAGAGCTAAAAGGAACAGCATGTTCAACGTGGCCCAGAATGAGACATCGGAAGCGACCAAAGTATCACGCGCAAACCAAACGCTGTATCAGTCGACGTCATGAATAGCGTTCATTACATGAATCCCCGTCACGACAAACAACATTGATATGATATACGACCGCTATGTTTGCCTTTCCAACTTGGCAGGTTGAGAACGCGTCAACGAGCTAGATCGGTAGAGTATCTACTCTTCATCGGTGATACCAGTCGACGACCCCTTGACATGGTCGCCGGTGATATTTCCAGTGTACTCCATTCGCTTCATCCCCGTTTGGTCTTTCCTGACCACGATGCCAGTGTTACCATTGCTAACGCGCTTGTTCGCAGCGATACTCCCAGACTCTCCCACGAACGCAGTTCCAACCTTATTTCGTATTCCAGTGGTAATACCATCCACTGTATTGCCTGTCACATTGCCTGTCTTTTTAATGATCTTTGTGTCCTATCGCTATGTTAGCAACTGGTCTAGAGACAACAAATACATTTCTTACAGGCTCGTTAGGCCGCCTTGCGTTACGTTTCTGGTCATCAAGGCCCATGATTTGCAGTATGGTACAACTGCGGATGATTTGATGCTGGCGCTATCCTGGATAGATGGACAGCGAAGAGGCAGAACATGTTTTGCGCTCGAGATGAGAGCGCGTGATATATACCTATGCCGTCCGGCTCTGTTCTATCAGGCTGAGGGGATCTCAGCTTGCTGCCTTGGAGCGTTCATCCAATGGCAGACCTAGGCTGGTCATTCATATATTTTTTTGCTGCCTAACTGGCCAACGACCAACGACAAGTGATCGGATGTCGTCATGTGTAACCTGTACAGCCTGCACCCCATGAACGCCTACGAGCCGAGTCCTTTGGGGTCCTCCTGAACTAGCCACTTAGGTTGCGCATCATTCGAGGCTGTGCATGCCGAACTGGCCTATCCTCATGGATCCAACAGCCCTGGAGGGACCTTTTCTCTGCTCGGCTAACCCTAGAAAGGTCTGCTGGGGTGGCGCATGAGAGATGCGCCACCCCAGACCTTCAGGAATCGGGACAATCCGCGCTGACACCCGTCGCACACAATGGTCTTTATATACCTATCCCTGGACACATCTGAAGCCAAGATCCCACTCTACATCTAGCCACACATTTTCATTCCACTCCGTTCCATCACCGACCTCGATATCTCGCTACCAGCAGAACCGTATCTCACCTGTACGACTTCGCTGCCACCACCTCTCTTCGTCCAACTCCTCAACTACATCATCGATCGAATCCGCATCGCGGGAAAAGTCTTTCCGTTTACAAAGATTGGTAGACCTTCTGGTCCAGCGGAATGGGCCTATTCAAGAGCGCTTGGGATCGGGACTTCCTGATCACTGTGGTGGCAGTATTCGGCATCGCCAGTATCAGTCTGGCACTAGTTTGGGGCTCTCCCTGTCCTGAGGCCTCTCCTATAACGCAAAACAACAGCACCGGTCCTACAGGTGATATCACAGCGGGTCACGACATCGGCTCTGCTTCCACTGGCATCGACGGGAAGCCGCCGTCGACATGACCGTGCCATTATGGCTGATTGTGACCCTGGAGCTGTGGGCGAGCATGGCCGTGATGGTATGGATGAGCGTGCCTGTATGGCATCCCTCTTCCACCTGCAAACTAGTTCAACTGACTGTGCCTCGGGAGGAAACAACGGCTTGTGTCTGGCGATGTTGTCAATGCGGTGTGAGTACTCCTTCCCTGGCAGGTCGCGACTGGATAGCGAGCTGACATCCTTTTCTACAGTACTGTACCATGTTTTTCCCCGTGCTCCCAATACGGCGATGTACTGGCCGACGGACCAGGCAAACGGAATGGGTTTTACGAGCACGACCGTGGGATTAGTGCCTTACTACGACTGAGTTAGCAGAGGATGCGGATATATACATGTCAGATAATAGATTGGGGTCTTGTGTAACATACTCTTATCTGTTGCCGCCATAGAACTTGATTACGCGCCAGCCTGCGGCTTCTCTTTTTGGTCCTCCTGTGACACGGATGCGCGGCCTGCTATGACGCGCTCTCGCGCGTCCATTCCTTCGAGCAAGCCTGCAAGCGTCGAGACACGCGCATCTATGGTACTGGTTGATGGCGCATCATGATGTCTGTTCTGCGACTTTTGTACGAAGGGTTAGCATTTCCCTAGGTAATGCGTAGGGTTGCGTCTCACTGTCGCACTTGCCTAGATAAGCGCGCCGATGCCCCACATCCTTGCCTCAAATTGAAGGGCAGCAACTGCGCCACAACTGCATAGCGGCCAAGTCTTTGATCTAACGGGTTGCGCAAGTATTTTCTTTCTATGAGTCCTCTCTAAACGACTGCACGAAAATCGCGCTCGACCAGACACACCATGCCGTCCAGTACTGACGAGGCGCAAGCGCTCGGCCATTCAGAGTTTTGGGACCAACGGTACGCAAAGGCCGACGGAACCAAGCCAACACATGAGTGGTTTCGCGCTTTCGAGGACTTAGAGCCGTTCTTCAAGAAGCATTTGTTCGACAAGACAAGGGAAGAGGGGAAGGATGGAAAAATTCTTCACTTGGGCAGCGGCGATAGTGTAGGTTTCCCATCATCATACTGCGGAACGCCGTGAGCGGCTCAAACTCCAACACCCAAGCGATGATAGAATCGCAAAACATTACTTTCTTTTCACTAACAATGCGCCGTTGTTTTTGTGACTAAATATCTCAAATCACTGACCCGTTCCCAGACCATCCCCTACGATCTCCTGAAGCGAGGCTACACGAACCAGCTCTGTATTGACTTTTCCTCAATAGTCGTCGATCTGATGAAATCGCGGCACTCAAATGAACCTCAAGTAGAGTGGAGAGTTGGTGATGTACGGGATATGAAGGGTATCGATAGCAACTCTGTGGATGTCGCCTTCGACAAAGGCACGCTAGATGCCATGATCTACGGCAGTCCATGGAGTCCACCCGAGGAGGTTATGGAGAACAGCGGGAGGTATCTCAGCGAGGTACGTAGACTGACGAGGCACGAATGTGTAAGCTCCGACACATGCTAATTGCGAAAAGGTCTGGAGGGTATTGAAAGATGACGGTGTCTTTCTCTACATCACATACCGCCAGCCACACTTCATCAAGCCTATTCTAAACCGGGACAACGAGTGGGATCTCGAGATGGAAATCATGGGTGGAGGCGACACTTTCCAGTACTTCGGCTTCATCCTCAAGAAGTATACAGCAAGCGCAAAATGAAAATTCAACAGACGGGACTGCGTTTCTAGATGAGTTGCATCCAAAGGCTCAAAATGGATCAAGAGTATGAGGCTCGATTAGCTGTAGGTGCGCCCCAAGAGGCATGCACTGTTTGAAATTCTCTATTAAAATGATGTCAAGATTTACGATATCTGCAGGATGAAGACGAAGATTAGCTTCCCCGTAGCCCATATGCAATGGCGGGTTTCGCTGATCGCACGGGCCATCTCCTCTCTGCTCTTTCTCTTTCCCACTCTTCGTCCCTCCCAACTACTTCGTATACCCCACACAATGCATCTGGTATCGATCGAACTGTCCTAACTTGTCACCATCTACACAGACACTGTCTTGCATGAAACAGTCGACTTTCCATCCTTGAACCCTGGCGTGCACACGATCGGTGCGGAACTCTCGAATACTAGCTCGACGCTTCCGTTCCTCGACCCATGAAACTGGATGTTCGCGCTCGCATTCGCCGCATTCATGCCGATTCCAGCGCCGATGATGATGGCTTCCGGGGTCATGTTGAAGCCGCTTCCCAGACCAAAGTCGCTGGATCCAGCCTGGAGTCCGCCTGTATCGCGTGCGTTAGTTAAAACCGGCCGCATAGTAATTGGAATACATACCTCCATACGACACATCGGCTTGCCAGTTGATGCCGCAGCCTACACCAATGTCGCCAAATGGTGGAAGGTTACCCGCCGCAGCGACATTGCCGGTTCCGCTAGTCGATGTGACATTTTTTGTCAGACTCGTAATCTCGACGCCGTTGGCTCTTCGGTGTTGATGCGGAGTTGCTGATGCGAGCATCTGCATCGCGAGGAACGGTAAGACGAATTGGGCGAACATGATATCGATGACGTTGACGATGCGACGCGGTTTCAGAAGAGGAGGGCCGATGTATATATAGAGGGAGAACTGCCGTTGGGTAAGGCTGCAGATGGTACAAAGTTGTACTTATAGTCGGTGCTTCTCAAGGTTTGATGATCAGGGGCCCGGCGAGACTGTCTTCATCGCCATTCAGGCTATTCATTACTTCTGTGCTTCTAGTCGACTTCCATCTGTTCTACAGTACCTCCCGGACGATCCGGTAATTGCAATGGCGAGTAAGAACCGCCATTCGGTCCGCACCCAAGTCTGATAGGGGG